CAGCAAGGCTTGCAGCATTGGAGCAGGGTTCAAACTGTTTTACCATGTTGTGGATAAAAAGAGAGAAGGAGTAGGGGTGGTCCTGAAGGAGGAGTTGGCAAAGAATGTAGTAGAGTTGAAAAGAGTGTCAGATAGGGTGATGTGTCAGAAGGTAGAAGTAGAAGGTCTGATGCTAAATGTTGTCAATGGTTATGCTCCACAGGTTGGATGTGATGTGGAGGAGAAAGATACATTTTGGAAGGATCTGGATGAAGTGATGAGAGAATTCACAGGGAGGAGAGAGTGGTGATCGGAGCAGACCTGAATGGACATGTTGGTGAAGGAAACGGGTCCATTCAGGTCTGCAGGGAATGCAGTGTTGTGTTTCACTGAGACATGGCTGCAGGGTCATATTCTCAACTCCAGCATTTCTCTGCCAGCATTTCTGACCATACGAGCAGATAGAGATTTAAAGGAGTGGCAAAATGAAAGGAGGTGGGTTGGCAGTGCTTGTGAACAACAGATGGTGTAATCCTGGACATGTTACTGTGAAGTGTCGTCTCTGCAGTCCAGATGTTGAACTGTTAGCACTAAGTTGTCATCCATATTATTTGCCATAACAGTTCACCAGTGTTATTTTGGCAACTGTTTACATTCAACCCAACACTGTTGCCAAGATTGCGTGTGATGTCATCAGCTCCGAGGTTGTTATGCTACAGACACAACACCCTAGTGCGTTTGTTGCAATATCTGGGGATTTTAATCATGTCTAACTCTCTGCTACACTTCCGACATTCCAACAGTTTGTCATCTGCTCTACCAGAGAAAACAAAATGCTGGACTTGTTTTATGCAAATGTCAAGGATTCATACATCGCTAAAGTCAGACCCCCTCTTGGCAAATCAGATCACAATCTTGTGTTTCTCTGCTCAAAATATAAACCCCTTGTTCAGAGGCAACCTGCAATAAAGAGAACAGTGAGAAAATGGTCAACGGAAGCTGAAGAAGCCCTTTGGGGTTGTTTTGAGGCTACAGACTGGGATGCACTGTGCCAGCCACATGGAGAGGACATCAATGACTGAGTGTGTGACCGACTATATAAACTTCTGTGTAAACAACATCATCCCCACCAGAACAGTGAGATGCTTCCCCACTAACAAACTCTGGATCACCACTGACCTGAAGGAACTGCTAAACCAGAAAAAAGAGCCTTCAGGGAGGGAGACAGGGAATTATTGAGGAGTACACAGAAGCAACTAAAAGTCAAGATAAGAAACAGCAAGGAGGTGTACAAGAAGAAGCTGGAGAGACAGCTCCAGCAGAACAATATGAGAGAGGTGTGGTCAGGGATGAAACAGATCACAGGCTTCAAGCAGAAGGAGGATCAGAAGGATGGAAGGCCTCAACAATCACCTGGATCAAAGACTACCTGACAAACAGACCACAGTTTGTGAGACTGAAGGGTTGTGTGTCTGACCAGGTGGTCAGTAGCTCAGGAGCACCACAGGGGACTGTACTCGCACCATTCCTTTTCACTCTGTACACCTCAGATTTCCAGTACAAAACAGACTCCTGTCATCTGCAGAAATATTCTGATGACTCTGCAGTGGTCGGGTGTATCAGAGATGGACAAGAAGCTGAGTACAGGGAACTGGTGGACCGCTTTGTGGCATGGTGTGGAAACAATCATCTCATCTTGAATGTGAACAAAGGAGATGATTGTAGATTTCAGGAGAAACAGGAACAGGTCCAACCCTATTTTCATCATGGGAGAAGAAGTGGAGGTGGTGGAGAAGTATAAATACCTTGGAGTTCACCTGGACAATAGACTGGACTGGAAATGCAACAGTGAAGCATCTACAAGAAGGGACAGAGCAGACTGTACTTCTTGAGGAAGCTGAAGTCCTTCAACGTTTGCAGCAAGATGCTGCATATCTTCTATAAGTCTGTTGTAGAGAGCGCTGTCTCTTCTGCATCATCTGCTGGGGGAGCAGCACCAGAGCAAGTGACTTAAAGATCAACAAGCTCATAAAGAAGGCTGGTTTAGTTCTGGGGACTCCTCTAGAACCTCTGGAGATGATTGTTCAAAGAAGGATTCTTCATCAAATGAAGAACATTATAGACAACCCTCAGCATCCTCTTCATCACACTGTCATACAACAACAGAGTGTCATACAACATCAGACTGTCATACAACAACAGACTGTCTTCAGTCAGAGGATTCTTCAGATCTGCTGTAGGACAGACGCTACAAGAGGTCCTTCCTGCCACAGCATCAGCATCTAGAAGAACTCTTTAATGAAACCAGGATGATGAGTTACAACAACATTTAATTTCCTTCTAGGATTAATAAAGTAGTTTTGAATTTGAATTGAATGATGAAGATTCACTATTTATATTTACAAACTGGAATCTATCAGATAAATACAAACCGTATTCCAAAAAAGTTGGGACACTAAACAAATTGTGAATAAAAACTGAATGCAATGATGTGGAGATGGCAAATGTCAATCTTTTATTCATAATATAACATAATGACAGATCAAAAGTTTAATCTGAGTAAATGTAACATTTTAAAGGAAAAATATGTTGATTCAAAATTTCACAGTGTCAACAAATCCCAAAAAAGTTGGGACAAGTAGCAATAAGTGGCTGGAAAAAGGAAATTGAGCATATAACGAACAGCTGGAAGACCAATTAACACTAATTAGGTCAATTGACAACATGATTGGTAT